TCGCCCGTAACTACCCGGACCGCGGCCAGGCAGCGGCGCAGGCCGGCGGTCGGGAAGTCTCGGCGTAATACCCAGACGACACACATAGTTTAGTAGAGTATTGATGGTCCGCGAGATCCGCTTGAATACTACGGCAATGCGAACAGCATTGGCCTCCATCGCAAGCTTGCCCGTGGGGGGCCTGCCACGGTCTCTGGCTACCTGCCGACCAAGCAAGGGAATTTGCGGATGACTACAGCGAGTCGGCTCGCGCCCAAGGTGCACTTAGTTGTGCGCTTCTTCATCGGCAACTACATCAAGATAGAAAACGTTGTAACTGTACGATTGGCTAACAGCATCCGCAGGTAACTGGCACCTCCCTGCGCGGCTAGCTGTGCCCTGGTAAACAATGGCAACGACGTTGCGCCATATGTTCACTGCTACGAGTCAGAAGGTACCGCTCTGAATATGCACGACGTCACTGGAACCGCGCATGCGCGAATCATTCAGCGCTTGAAGCCATCAAAATCATTGGCAGGCATTGATGAGCATCCCAAAGTTTGAGTGGGGACTTGGTGAACGCGCCAGCGTCGGGCGGCCACGCCCAAGAGGGGGATGGACCTCCAGCGCCGGCCGCGCGCGACGGCAGGCCACCGGTTACTGCTGAGAACCAGGAGCCGATCTGGAAGCACACATCATGGACACGCGGCATGTAGAGCTCCAAGAGGAAGAGGGACTGCTCGAGACCCCCCATGGGAGCCCCTGTGCTCTGTGCCCACCGAAATGGTTGCCGACAACCGTGCGCTCGTGGCCGCGGGCAGTGAAGGGCAAGGACACTTGGGGGAAAAGGTTATGCTTGGAACCATGGCACCAACGCAACCTTTCTGGTACCTTGGACCACCGTAGGAGGAGTCGGCTTGCAGGGGGGGGCGGGCGCGGGGGGGGCGCCAACGACCGCGCCGATTCCGTCGCGGCCCGCTGCCCCTTCCCGGGACTCTCAGGAATCCTCCGGGCCCAGTCGGCCCCGCAGTCGGCGCCGGCGTCGCGCCGCCCGCGAGCGCCAGCCGGCGGGCGGGCCGACCTTGTTGCGCATGTTTGGCGCGAGAGACCCGCGCGGGCCTCGCGCTGTGCCCGCGCCCCAGGGCGACGGCCCAGGCCCTTGTAGCCTCCCGCGCTGACGCGATGGCCTCGCGCGCGGCGCAGGAGCGGGCGCCGCCGACCGTTCGGTTCGGTCCCGCGCACTTCTCATGCGCGAACGCAAAGCCCCCCATGCTGCTCGCGCGCTTTTCGCGCTGGGCAGCACGGGGGGCGACGGCCGCGCGTTCAGTGGGAAACCGCGGCGCAAGTTTCCATTCCCGCGCGCGGGGCGGGGCATGAACTCACACATGCGCCGACGGTCGAGAACTCGCGCGCGCGCCCGCGCCTGCCATGTTGGGCGTGCGCACTGGGCCCGGAAATCTGCGGCTCGGCCGCCCGATGCGCCCCAAAAACTGCTCCGCCTCCCCCCCCGCCCCCCTCCCCCTCAAAACTCTTCCGCGCTCCTGGAAAAACCACGCCGCCGAGGCGGGGGCTCGGGCCGCGGCCTGATGGTCCCCGGGGCACAGGGGAATCAAAGGAATCAGCACGGAATCAGTGCAGAATCAAAACAGAATCGGCACAACTGCGACCCCTGATTCTAGCGGAATCAAAAGAATCAGCACGGAATCAAAACGGAGTCAAAGGAGGAATCGGCGATGGAACCAGAATCGGCCAGAACGGGGAAGTAGGCCAGAATCGGTGCCAGAACCCATGGGGAGATGCCTTTTTTCTGCGAGTTCATTGCGGCGGGTCCGCGACGTGGGCGCTCCGCGCGACTTCGCTGGTTCAGCGAGGCGCGCAGTCGGCGTTCAGAGTGAACAGGTTGTTTTTTCAGGGCGATGTCCTGGCGGCGCGCTGGCGCATTGCGCATTTGCGTATTCCTGGCGGGCTGTTTGAGGGCGACCTGGCAGCGTCGGCCGAATGGCCCGCAAATACCGCGCGGCCGATCGCGCGCCCCATGCGATCACGTCGACCGCCGTGCGCCGCGACGGCCGCGCGCCCAGGGCCGCGCCATTGCCGCGTTGGATTGGACGGCGCAGCGCCCGCCCTCCAAAAGTCGTTACATGCATATCGCGCGCGTCGAGCCAGCAGCAATCGCTTCCCAGAAGCAGCGTTGACAGGCGCCCCATGCCCGCTGTCGCCCGCTTCCGATCCAAATCGTAGTTTCTTAGGATGCGCTTGCGCGAATGTGAGCGCGCGGGCAAGTAACGCGCGCGTGCACTTGGCGCAGCCTGGGAAATCCAACATGGAGCCCCCCGGGGGCGCGGGGCGCCGGCGACGCCTCCGCCCGCCTCCCGCGCGCCCGACCCCCCCCGCAAGCCGACTCCTCCTAGACCACCGAATGCGACGAGACTTACGTTCTCGATTCGGACGACCACAGTCTGTATGTTGAGTTATGCGTTACTGCTGACATGGCTAAGGTTGTTCTACCAGGGCAACGCTACGAGTCACTGCGCAGCGACCAAGTAACCGCAATGCGCGCATACGTCTCAGTTGCAGCTAAAGAGCTGCGGTTGCCGAGTGAGACGGCCTCCTGACGAAGGCGGAAAGACACGCTGACCCGACGTATATCCAAAGTTTTGCACGCTGAGCTCAAACTATGGTTCGATAACAAATGCTTCAATAGACAAGACATCAAAAGTGCTGCTATTATCATGAACTTTAGATGCGCGCACAAGTGGAAGGCTGTTAGACACGACAAGGGCGACATGGAACGAGCAATGCGACTCCGCCTTGTGATTCGTGGTTTCGTTGATGTCGAAGCATCCGACGTAGAAACCTTCTCGGGGCCAGCTCGTCGAGCACGCCAGACATTGCTCGCCAGCGCGGCCGCGCGCAGGAGACAGCGGATCATGGCATCCACGGACATCGACAAGGTTTTCTTGAAAGGTCTGACCTATCGTGAGCGTGGCAGAAGCCATTGGAGAGAAAAAGCGCATGGTTTGCATTGCTCCTCCACCAGATTCAGCCTCGGCGCGGCGCGCATGGCCGGGTCTCTCGCCCCACGGCGAGTCAACGCATTGTCTACAGCGCATCAAGCCAGGCACAGGCACCAAAAGCGCCCCCAGGGCAATCTCACTGGTGCTCAGAACCATCACGCGATGATTCGAGCTGAAACCCACGGCATATGACGGAGCATTTGAGAGAAGCCCACACCTCCTTACAGCTCGATGGCAGATTCATGGCAGGAGCGGGGGTGCGTTAGGGACAAGTGCGTCACATGTGTAGAAGGTACGTCTGGCGCATGCAATTTGGACAAACACTGTTGACCAATTGCGCCGTGCGGTGCGCTGAGACGGAGGGCGGCCGCGCCCTTCTAAATCAGGGCGAATCCATCAAACAGCTTCGCCCGATTCAGCGCCCAGAGCTCACGGGCGCTGCAGCGGGAGAGAGGCGACGGAGACCGTATCCGACGTGTTTATATGTTTACGTGGCGCCTTGGCGCATGCATCAATCATTCAGGCGCGGTCAATCGTGCGCGTGATATCCCTGCAGCGCGCGCAGGAACCCATCAACCTCCAAGTGCGAAGACATGGCGCTGTCGCGCGCAAGCTTCAGCAAGTCCCACAGAAAACAATGTATCAACTTACGACTCCGACAGGAGAAGTGGACCTTCACAGTGACTCAGGATACCGCCGCCTTAATGTGGGCGAACATGACGAAGTCAAGGGATATGGGATCCGAGGTGCCAGCGTTTTACTGCGCGGGCACGCGCCTAATGGCAAGGCAGTAGTGCATCTGATCGATGCGCGCTGCAAGTCGCATCGCCGGCTACTCAGCTGAAAGACCGGCAGCCGCTCGTGACCTTGAGGACTGCTACCCTCCCATGTTTACGCTGCGTGAGCTTGACGCTAGACCCCTAACGCCCGCTCAACTTGAACATTCTGGAGTTCGGTGGTCCCAGCATTACGGCCATCCTTGCCATGATCGCTGAGTCGGCCTTTTAAATTGTAAATCATTGTCAAGGAGGCTTGAAGAAGCCGGCCGGATGTGCCTTGCAGGGGCACAGCAGTTGGATAAGACAAATGATGGACCGTGGGATAGTTAGTAGCGTAGTTTTGTGTGATACGCGAGACATGGCTGGTGACGGCCATGCCAAGGGGTGCATCGATCGCGCGTTACTGCTGCAAGCGATGGAGGGCAATCGGTCATTCAAGTACGAATTGAGAAGTACACGCCTTATCGAGGCAAGAAAGACAACAGGGTTCTCAGCTTATTACCTCGTGGTCAAGACCTGTACCTTATTTTTCCTTTACTGCACCACGTTGGTTGTGTCACATGGATTGCACCACGGTGATCGGACTACTTCGGGTGCACAACATAGATTGCACACCGTTTATTGCGCAACATAACTTGTACCACGCCGGTTGCACCACATTTGGTGCCCCACATTCATTTATTGTACAACATATATTGCGCTTCCTACATCGCACCACTGCTATTGCACAGCATAGGTTGCACAACATAAGTTGCATATTATGGATCGTGGATCTTAAATACTCCACCGCATAGATTGCCCCACATTGGTTGCGCTACGCCGACTGTTAGAGACACGCCGTTTGGGGCCGCAGACGCTGGCAACATATGTTTTATGCACGTCTAAATATATAACATCACCCAAGTTATCCTTCTTTGTCCTGCGTAATTCAGCCGCCATCTGTATTTGTCTACCTCATGTTCTCTCGGTATGATCCCTCGTTCTCTTTATTTCCCCCCAGGTATATTCTCATCCGCCGCAAAAACAAGGCCGAGGCAAACAACCCGAACATGAGGTGATTTGACAGCGGTTGGATGCGAGGACCAGCCGCGCGGGAGAGACCACTCGAAGCATAGGGAGGGTTGGAGAAAGGAAGGGCAAGACAAAGAAGGGGTGAGCGTGGGGGTGGAGGAGGGAAGGAGCAGGGAACACGGTGAAACAAAGGCGGCGGGAGGAAGAGGAGGGGTCGGGGGGAGGAGCCAGCTTGTGCATGACCTCCACGCCGTTGCGCCGACCGACCCCGTACTTGTGCGGTCCCAGCGCCTGGGCGATGAGCTCCTTGTGTTTCGTCATTGCTGCCTTTGCTGCTATGCGGCGGAGCGTCTGTCCGCAGGCGAGGGGTCGTACCCCGCCGCCTGGTTTCTGGAGCGGGATTCGACGGCCACCCAGCAGCGCTCTCGAGGCGGCCGGCGGCGCCTCGCCCCGCATGGTGACGGCTAACAGCTGCGCCAGCGCCTCCTTTCCGTTTGCGTTCCCACGGAGCGTTGCCCAGTGCTCGAAGCGGGCCCCCGTGAGGCCCGGCCTGGAGTGTTGCGGGAATTTGTTCAGATGTCCGGCGGCCTCCTCCGCAGCGTCGGCCTCCCACGTTTCTGGCTGGTGCTGCGGTGGTGGCGGCATTCGCGGGGCTCCGGCCTCCGGGAAAAGGCTGGCCAGGCGGGCGCGCGCCTCCGCCCCAACGACGAGTTTCCCTGGGCCGCTCGCGGCCGCAGCGGCCAGAGACACTTCGCCAAGCATGATGAGCTCGTGCATCCGTTTGGTCCAGGTCGCGGCGCCTGGTGGCCGCCGGCTGCTGCCGCCGCCAATGTCGCCAGGGCGCGCTGTGGCCGCCAGGGGCCCGCCCCCGCACATGCCTGCCCTGCCTGATCCTGGCGGCGATCACCTTCGAGGCTGGAGGCTGGTTTTTCCTCTTCCTCCTCCTCCTCCTCCTCTTCCTCCTCTTCCTCCTCCTCCTCCTCCTTCGTCTCCTCCTCCTTCGTCTCCTCCTCCTGTCCTCCTCCTCCTCCTCCTCCTCCTCCTCCTCCTCTTCCTCCTCCTCCTCCATTTCCCCACCAGGATGCGGCCAGGGAGGCTCGCATTCTAGGGTCCTCCCCCCCATCCTCCTCCACAGCACACGTCCACAGCGGCGGCAGCACACGTCCGCCGAACGCCGGCGGCGACCCGCAGGATCGCGGACGGAGAGGCTGGGGCGGCGCCGCCGCGGCGGCCCGCGTGCGGTGGGCCGGTCGTGGCCTCCCTGGCGCGCGCTGGAGGAGAAAAAATGACCGTCTCGGCGAGCGTCTGGGCGAGCAACGGCGACGGCGACGGCGACGACAGCGGCGGCGGCGACGGCGACGGCGACGGCGGCAGCGGCGGCGACGGCGACGGCGACGGCGACGGCGACGACGGCGGCAACGGCGACGTGTCCCGCCCGCCCGCCCGTTCGCCAGAGTGACCTTTGGTGCGGGCCCAGGGGGGTCCCCCGAGCACTGGCCTGCAGGCTTGGATTTGGCCCCTCCGCGTTTCCCTGAGACAGCACACCAACAGGTCACCCTTGCCTAGAGTCACTCATGTGTGCAGGCGATTTGATGCCTCATCCGTACTTCAGGGACAGCCTGGCCAGCAACACGCAAACATGGTTAGCATCGCAAGCGGTGATGCGACGACATATCACACATTATACACAGCACCGCTTGGGGGGAACACCAAACATTGGCTGGATTATGCATGCGATCAGATGCTCCGTGACACAGTTGGGAACACGCCTTCCAGCACGTGCAGTAAACGAGCCCCGGCCCAACCGCGCTGCCCATCAGGGGCCCGCTGGCCAGCCGGCCTGCGCCGTGCTTCCGACTCGGTGTAGTTGAACATTGTGCCCAATCTTTGTGATCCAAATGGGGGCATGGTGTCTCCCCGCGCTCTTGTTGGGTCGCCTCCACTCGTCTCGTGAAGCCCCGCGTCGCAACATATACCCTCCTCGTGCCGAGGACGACAGGGGCGACTACCAGTGTTTCTCCAACCATCCTGTGGTATTAGGTCTTCGTTTTGAAGAGACAGCGCCCCGCGTCTCCTCCTTTCTTCTCTCCCTCCTCCTCCCTCCCTCTCCTCCGATCCCTTGCCTCTTCCCTCCGCATGTCCTGATGATCGTCATCATCATGATCATGATGATGATGATGATCATCATCATCATCATCATCGTCGTCGTCGTCGTCGTCATCATCATCATCATCATCGTCATCGTCATCGTCATCGTCATCGTCATCGTCATCGCCGTCATCATCACCATCATCGTCATACCCAGTACAGCGCTTCGTGGCCCCATAGGGAGCTCAAACGAATGTCCCCGTGGCGCAGTTCGCATGCGTCTCCCCCGCCCAGTACAGCGTTTCGTGGCCGCATAGGGAGCTCCACCGATAGGGAGCTCCACCGAAGGTCCCAGTGGCGCAGTTCGCATGCGTCTCCTCCGCCCAGTACAGCGTTTCGTGGCCCCATAGGGAGCTCCACCGAAGGTCCCAGTGGCGCAGTTCAGAATGTGTCTCCCCCACCCAGTACAGCGCTTCGTGGCCCCATAAGGAGCTCCACCGAAGGTCCCAGTGGCGCAGCGCAGTTCGCAAGCGTCTCCCCCATTCAGTACAGCGTTTCGTGGCCCCATAGGGAGCTCCAACATTCAGTACAGCGTTTCGTGGCCCCATCGGGAGCTCCACCGAAGGTCCCAGTGGCGCAGTTCGCAAGCGTCTCCCCCGCGCAGTATAGCGTTTCGTGACCCCGCAGGGAGTTCCACCGAAGGGCCCAGTGGCGCAGTTCGCATGCGCGGTAGTGTGCTCGATTCGCTCCGTCTGGAGCTGCGCTCGCGGGGGAATTACCGAGTGCTTGGGCATGACCAGTCTAACTACGTTTCATGGTAGGCTGGACTTCTGGATGGACCGCTGGAGCCATCAAGTTTTGAATGCAACACTGGCCCAATCTGACAGATACGTTTTAAGTGGGAATTCGTATCGGTAGGCCCGTGCTGGCCGAAGCTTGCGATAGTCAGCAGGTCAATTTCGCGCGATCCAGCCTATCTTCGATTGGAGGCTGGCCCCTGAGGGGAAAAAACAAGTGGCGCAGTTCGCATGCGTCTCCCCCACCCAGTACAGCGCTTCGTGGCCCCATAGGGAGTTCCGCCGATAGGAAGCTCCACCGATGGTCCCAGTGGCGCAGTTCGCATGCGTCTCCCCCGCCCACTATAGCGCTTCGTGGCCCCATAGGGAGCTCCAACAAAGGTCCCAGTGGCGCAGTTCAGAATGTGTCTCCCCCACCCAGTACAGCGCTTCGTGGCCCATGGGGAGCTCCACCGAAAGCCCCAGCGGCTGCACTCACATGCGTTTCCCCCGCCCACTATTGCGCTTCGTGGCCCCAGAGGGACTGCCACTGAATGCGTTACTCACGAAGACGGTATTCACAACTGCATATGGTTGGGTCATTCGCCAGGCGAATTTTGAGCGCTCTGCAGTTTCGGGGCGGTGGCCACCCGCCTCGGAAGGGACCGAGCAAACCGAACTCGCTCTGATTGAAGTCGCCGCCGACCACGACTTGCTCTCTCCCCCCGTCCTCCTCCTCCTTATCTCCTCCTCCTCCTCCTCCTCGTCCGCCTCCTTCTCCTCCTCCTCCTCGCCCTCCCCCCTTCCCCTTCCCCCTCCTCGTCCTCTCTTCTGCTCTTCCTCCTCATACTCATCCCCCACCCCTCCTCCTCATCCTCATTTTTGTTCTCTTCCTATCCTTCTAGTCTCCCCCTCCTTCCCTCCTCTCCTCTTCCCCCCTCCTCTCTCCTCCTCCCTTCCATTCTCTGTCGTCTTTATCCCTTCCTCATATCTTCCCAAACTCCTTTTTGCATCTTTCTTCATCCTCATTCCTCCCCCTCCCTCCTCCCGCTCCCCCCCCCCTCCCCTCCCTCCCCCCCCCGCTCCTCCATTCCATCCCTCCTCCCCTTCCCTCCCCCCATCTCCTCCGCCCCAGGTGGACACGGATACCGAGTGCGGGTTCAGCATCGATGGTTGGGACGACTGGAAGAAGGGGGACGAGGCGGCCTCCGCCCTCCCCGTGGGCAGAGGGGAAAGCGGGAGGGGCGAGGATGAGGGGGAGGGAGGGATAACGATGTTTTTGGCTGTGATGGTGATGGTCCTGACGATGACGGCGAGGACGATGACAATAGTGGTGACAGCGACGACGTCATTGATTGGTGGTTGTCATGGTGATGATTGTGAGCAGGAGAGGCCCCCTTGACCAGAACGGCTCCTCTTCATGCTTCTCTTGTTGCTCCTCCTGCTTCTCGTGATCCTCCTGCTCATGCTGCTCCTCATTCCTCAGTTTTGTAGCCGTGCCCTAGTTCCTCACGTGCCTGTGTGGGAGGGCGGCGGCCATTGACGCCGAACAATCTGCGCTGTTGCAGCTCCGGCCTGAGCAGAAGTGGCTTGCAGCATCATCGTGTTAGCCAGCGTGGACCCCACACAGTAGGTCATTGCATTGTGGATGTGCACGCTTCGTGATGTAAACCATGATGTAAAAACTGTGTGGTGCAGGCTATGCTGTGAAAGCTATGTGCTATAAGCTATGCGGTGCAAGCTCTGTGATGAAATATATGGTGTACAATCTACGCGATGCAAGCTTTGTAGTGTAAGCTATATGGTGCAAGCTATGAGGTGTAAGCTAAGCTATGCCAGCTATGTAGTACTGGTTATGTGGTAGAAGTTATGTGGTGTAAGCTATGTGGTGTAAGCTATGTGGTGGACGCTATATTGTGTAGGCTATGTGGTGGAATATATGTTGATTGGAGTCATCAGGGGTAGCAGTTTCGTTTAGGAATTCCAGTGCTTCCGTGTGTGTGTGTGTGTTGCCATAACCGTTTTGGCTCGAGTTGATGACAAAGGAATTGCTTCATCCACGGCATGTATCATCGTCATGGTAGCGTGAGCTGGAAGGCTCCAGCTCTGCTGCCTGCCCTCTGGTGCGGGACGTCGGCTGCGTCCGGAGTCCCCGCTGGCCCAACCGACCGCAATGTCACCCGACAGGCCTCCTGCGCGGCAGGTGGAGGAGGAGACGCGAGGGCGGCCTGCGGCAGTGCGGGCGCAAGCGCAGCTCCGGAGCCAAGAAACGTGGATCCCAGAGCCAGGGAGCGATCGACGACCGCTCACTGGAGCTGGACTACAAGCACGTGCTCGCGGACGTGGAAAAGGGTCTCCAGGTGGTCGGCGAGGCCTCTCTTGAGGGACATCATGTGCAGGAGATTCGCGACGCGGTGCGTCAGGATCAGACTGAGTTTGAGGAGATGCGAGCGCGCCTAGACAGAGGCAAAGCACAGCGAGCAGCAAATCAGGTACAGCGCGATGGATGCAGAGCAGGTGCAGGCCCAGCTCGAGGCGCCCCGTGGCGAGTTCACTCGTCACCTCGCTGCGGCGCGCAAGGTGGCTCGAGCCGAGGTTCAGGGACAGCTTCAGGAGGCGGCCAACGAGATGAGGTGGCTCCGGGAGGCGAACCAGAAACTCGAGGCGGAGGTGCAGCGTTCCATCGGCAGCATCCCGCCAGCGGCAGCATCCCGCAAGCCATCGAGCGCATGGGCGACAAGATCACGCAGGGCTTGAAAGCCAGCAGAGCATTGAGCGAGGTCTCGCTCTGTGCGACAACAGGGGCATAGGCAAGCCGACCACTTTCGGGGACCAGCAGGACAAGTTCAGGCATGGAGCCGGAAGTTCGTCAACTTTGTTGTCGCCGTGTACGGCGAGCCCTTTAGAGCTGTTCTTCGGTGGGCCGCGGATCAGGATCTTCCGGTGGCCCTGGACCTGGCGAAGGACGAGCACGACGCCACCATCGTGAATCTAGAGGAGAAGATCAACCAGCTGTACAACGCCCTCAGCGGGACGACAGAGGACGGCAGCGAGAGCAACGAACTCGTAACAGGAGCTCCCGACGGGAACGGCCTCGAAGCCTG